GCAGGGCATGTCTGCTTCGTATCTCTCCCCATTCACTGCTGTCGTTCAGTTTCTTTTCCCAATCAGTGTTTGATCTAATTCTGTATCCTTTCTTTTGGTGCTTAGGGTTCCAGGGTTTCATCCATGTCTGTTACACTTTGTTTCTCAGGTCTTTGCTGTAGAGGGATGGTGTGGTGCTTCTGACTAGGTCACCATCTTGAATCTGTTGGTTTTGAAATGCTTCTTGAGTGACATAATGAATGAGCATAGGTGTATGTTGACTTGAACAAAGTAAAAAAGTGTTGTTAGAGACTAAGGTAAGTTTAAAGAAAATAGGAAACAAACTTTATTTCCCCAAATATAAGCAAACTAGATACGAGAGAGAGATTAATACCAGAAGGGACTCTGAAAAAAATGATCTTGATCTTCTGCTTTCCTTAAGAAGCAAGGAGCCCAGACTTGCCTGTGGTGGTAAAAAGCATAGGTGAAGTGGGTATGCAGCTTCCTTAGACAGACACCATCTCCACAAAAGGGAACATTAAAATTCTATTTAGTAACAAAGAACTATTTTGAGAGAGGCCTGCAGGAGAGTCAGCTCTGAGTAAGTGAATCTTCTGTGTTTCCTACCCAGGGCTTCTAGATGGTTCTTTATGGTTTGAACTCCTGCTGAGAGTTTGCATTTCTAACAAGTTCCCTGCTGAGAATTTGCATTTTTACCTCAAATATACTGAATCCATATTTAAGCAAGATTCCCAAGTGATTCTTATGTACAACTTCCTGGGAACTTGTTACAAATGCAAATTCTCAACAGGGGTTCTAACCAGACCAAATCAGTTGGAAACCCTGTTCCTACCAGACACACAAGCAGCCCAGTTAAGTAACAGTAACTGCCATTTGCTGTGTTAGGCGTACTGCTAAGAATTTGACACACATTTATCTCCAGAGAGATTCAGTAACTTCCCCAAGCCCTTCCAGATAGGATTAAGTGACAGCTGAGATTCAGACCTAGATATGTCCACTTTCAAAGCCCATGTTCCTTCAACTATTAATCTACCATCTACTTGTTAAAATCATTTGATAAAATATTTATCAAAAATATTCTGGGAGCCTAACATTCAGCAAAAGTCTCTTCACCAATGTAAGGATGTTTGTAATCTCTGCCTTCTAAACCCAAACCACACCCATTGCTGCTGAGTCAGTTCTGCCTCATAGTAACACTATAGGACAGAGTAGAACTGCCCCATAGGCTTTCCAAGGAGTGGCTGGTGGATTTGAACTGCTGACCTTTTGGTTAACAGCCGAACGCATAACCACTGCACCACCAGGGCTCCCTCTGCCTTCTAGATGCAATTTAAAAGAGATGAAGCCATATAGAGGCTACACACAAAATGATTTAACTATGAGTTTTAACTATGAATAATAATAATAAAAGAATGGAGTATTTTGTGGAATTGAGAGAGGTAATTCTGTGTTTAGAAGAGATAGAAAATGTCTATTAGATAAATTTTCAGGGGCTGTTTGCTGAGAAGGAGAAGGCTTCTATTCTGGTGTAAGACAGGTATGCTCCAGCCTTGAGGAATGGAAAGAATTGAGTGGATCAAGGAAAGCCAATAAAAGGAAAAACTGCACTCAGAGGGTTTGGTGAGAAAAGCAAGATGTAATTTGTACAACATCCGTCTGAGGGTCTGTTCCTTGCCACACATTTTTTTCCCCTAGGTTCAAAGGAATTGTGGTAACTAAGACAGAAATCCCTGCCTCCATGTAACTAACATCTAGAAAGGAACATAAATAATGAACGGATAAATGTATAATTATATAATTCCAGGAACTAGTAAGTGGTATGAAGAGGATTAAAGCAGGATAAGGAGAATGACTGGGGCCAGGAGGGCCTAATTTTAGAAACAATGGTTAGCAATGGTTAGGAAAGGTCTGTCTGAGGAGTGATGAATTGAATAGAGAGCTGAATGAAGTGAGGGGTGAGCTATGTGATCATCTGGGGAGTGTTCTCAGCAGAGGAAAGAGCTGATGCAAAGGCCCTGAGGTCATAATGAACTTATATGTTAGAGCAGCAGCAAGAAGCCAGCATGGCTAGAGTGGGTAAGTGCTGCACAGGGTTAGGAGATGAGGTCAGAGACATAGGCAGGGGTCAGGCCACATGCAGCCTTGCATTCCAGGTTTAGGAATTGGGATTTTATTCTGAGTGTGATGGGAAGCCATTGGAGAGTTCTGAGCAGAGAAGTGATAGGGTTTGTATTTTGAAAGATCATTCTAACTACTGGGTAGAAAATTGCAAAGGACAAGGGTGCAAATAGTGAGAACAGAGTTTTTGTTTTGTTTGTTTGTTTTTAACAGCAGATTACCATTTACAGATCCTGAAAAAAAATTTACCCAATCCTGACCTGCGATTTTTCAAAAATAAAATAAAATGTAAAATATCAGAGTGCATCCATATAGTAAGAACAAGTATTGTTTCGTGAAATTTTTGTTTCGGCTGTATGTATGCGTGTGCTCATGTGTGTGTGCTGGGTTGAAATGTAAAATATATGCTGAGTCATGCTAAAAAAAAAGCCACTGAATTAGGAAGTACTTCAATAGTCCAGGTGAGGGGTATGGGCCAGGGCGATAGGTGGAAATGGTAAGAAATGATTGCTGTTATTGTTGTGTGCCATAAAGTTGATTCTGACTCATAGTTGCCCTATAGGACAGAGTAGCACTACCCCACAGGGCTTCTTAGGCTGTAATCTTTATGGGAGCGGATTGTTAGGTCTTTTCTCCCATGGAACTCGCTGGTGGGTTCAAACCACCAACCTTTCAGTTAGCAGCTACATGTTTAACGATTAAGCCACTAGGACTCCTTAAGAAATTGTTGTATTCAAGTTATATTTTGAGGGTAGATTAGATCTGATATACTAGTAGATTAGATGTGGCAAATGCAGGAAAGAGAGACATCATCCTGGACTTAGAGGCTTTTGGTCTGAGAAACAGGGTAAATGAGATATTATTTGCATATGGCAAAGTCTGGGGGACATGTAGTCTTGCAGGGCTTGAAGACAGAAATCAAGGTTTAACATTAGAAACCATTAGTAAGAATTGTTGGAATTAAAAACACAAACCCAAAGCAAATATATAAATGTATATACCTCTTAGCATGATAATGATAATCTTTATGGGAGAAAAATCTTCAAAAGTTCAACATCTGTTGAATATCTTTAACAGATGGTACTATCTAAATTTTTAAAAAGCTATTTCTAAGACTGTTAAGATTCATAAGGCCCATAAAAGTTATTTTCTTACAGGTGGAAATATATATAAGTGATTGAATGTTTTAGTTATTATTAAATATGGTTTTCTGATGGTCCTTATGGTCCTGTTCCTTTCTTTTGGAAGAAAATGGACACCCTTGAGAGATTAGACTATTCCTGGAAAAGAGTAACGTAGATAGAACTAATGTCTTAAAAAAAAAAAAAAAAGCTGAATATAATGCTACTGACAAATGCTCAGTAGAATGTGTGTGGTGTTTTAGGTAGTTTTAATTTTTGTTTAGTGTTTGGTTTGCTTGTTTATCGTACTGGTAAAGTGTTCTCTGAGACTACCCTTGTGTCTCACATGGCCCTTCTTGTAACCAGGGCTGGATTCATGCTGATGTATAGTGGGATTCTAACTATATGATAACATTTGAAAGGCACCCAGAAGGCATAAACCTGAAAATATCTTCCTCATAGCTTTGAAACTCCTAAGTTTACCATG